TTTTAAAAAGCTTAAAACTACTTGAAAAATTTATTTATGTTTATTAAATGCAATAATTTAAATATGATTTTCTAGATATTCTATAAAATACTACCTCACATCTATTTAGCTTATAAAAAAGCTCTGATTCAGCTTTAATATTAATAATTACTTAAATGTCAAGCGATATTTGCATCACTTACCTTTCCTTCCAGCGCGAGAAGAGACGATCCCGTTGCTGCCACAGCAGTCCGCGTTTAATTGGCCCCGTCATGGAGGCCACAGGTATGCGACCCGCTAGCAGCGATTGCTGTGAACAGATAAACAGATAGAAAGAGAGAGAGAGAGAGAGAGAGAGAACTGATTAAAATTACGTGCATATATGCATTTGCCATTAGCTGTAGGGGGAGTTAGTTTATGCCGATTTTGCATATTTGTTTAATTTATGATAGAACATTTTCTGAACGTCTCAGCTGTTTTCGCTGGCTGTCGCAGTGGTTCTCATAATTCTTTAGCCCCTGCACTTTACGGTACTTTAAATAATTTAAACAACAACAACAACAWGTCGTGAACCTTTGTGTCTGGCTCCCATGAGCTATGATTAATGTTGCTTTAAAAAGCCGCCACTTGCGTTGCTTTTCAACCTCCCTTCAGCCGCCCTCCAACAAGCGGCAACCCCCGCCCCATTTTAAGCACGCCTGCTGTACCATAAATTCCGTTTTGTATTTTTTTTTTTATTTGTATATATTTTGTTCTTCATGTTGTGTGGTTTGTTGTTGTTGTTTTTGCTTATAGGAGCAATTTATTATCAAGCGGGTTGTATTATATTTTATATTAACAAATGTTTCGTAGCTGGTTAAATAATATAAGCGGATATAGACATGCATATACATATATAATATATGTATATATATGCAAATTTTTGATGGTATGCTGGAGCATGGAGGCAATTATAATGAGTTAATCCTTGTGGCTTATGCGGCTTACACATCAAATTAACAATAAACAATAATTTAGCGGTTAACTTTTCGTGATGGTCATTTAAAATGATAAAATTTATTAAACATATTTAATGGTATTTTTTGGAAAGAATCCATTCTGACAGCAAGTTGTAGTAATTTATTGAAATTTGAAACAATTTAAGGTCTGCAAATGTTTGAAATGTTTGTCAGAGTGAGTTTAATGATAAGTTGAACATTCAAAAGTAATAAGTGATAAGGTGATAAGAAGCTCTGAACTAACAGAAAATCTTTTACTATCCAAAGTCTCTTTGCAAAAATATATTTATTTTGAAATAAAGCACAAAAATAATAATTATAAAAACAAAATGCTATAATAAAGATACTGACAAAAATAGCCAAAAAGCCAATGTGAATTATAAAATAAAGATGTCTAGATAAACTTGAATACTCAATAGTATATCCAAAATAAAGATGCTATGCTAAGCCTTAATACCCAATACAATGCCCAAGATATAAAGGCTTTGATAAACTTTGATACCCAATAATTTAGGTAAAACAAAGATGCGTTGATAAGCTTGAATACCCAATGGTTGATGCTTAGATAAGCTTTAATAGGTGTTAGCTTAACTTAACAACTTTTTCTAATTTTAAAAATTTATTTATTTAAATTTTTATGTTTAAAAAAAAACAGCAATAATTAATATTAATTCAAATAT